GGGGGGGGAGAAAGAGTGAAACACTGATCTTTTGTTCCACTTATTTATGGATTCATTGGTTGATTCTTGTATGTACCCTGACCAGGGATTGAACTGCATCCTTGGCGAATCGGGATAATGCTCTAACCGACTGAACTACCCTGCCAGGGCCAGTTCTAGTTTTAAAAGGCACTGTGTACCTAAAAAGTAGAGAAAAGGGTTTCATTTTTGCAGAACTACTGTATGCTTTTACAATTCCATGAAAAGATAAATACCTTAACCAGAAAAAGATATTCACTTAGCAATCATACACAAAACTACTGTAAAATTCAGTTTACAGTCATTTCATACAAAAAGTAGAATCTGTTTGCTTTTTCCTTTTTGACAAATATAGCTCTAAAAAATATTTGATAATACCACTATCATTTGTTGGTACTTACTTCATTTATTATACGTTTTAATAAGGCAGAAACCTCGTTTAGCCCAATGGTAGTAATTATTTTTGCTGTCTTCTTTTCCCTCAAAGTTTTTAATAAAACCACCATCCACATACCACATTCAAGACAGCTGAGTTAACTTACAGTACAGTAGCTGGACATCTCTACCCTCTCAAATTCTGTCTAGGAGAAGCTGCTGGGATTCATTTTTAATTCTAGTAATCAGCAAACAAACATACAAAAAACAAAATCTGCCACTATACTCTTCCAGGCATCACATGTAAAAAAACACACAACCTATTCTGACTATTTAGCATTTACAAAATGTCCACCATATTCAAGAGAGTAAACACCACTGACATTATATTCTACTCCCACATGCTTTCCCCACAGTTTAGCTACTTAAAATATGGAAGAGAATGCTGGAGAGGAGGGAAGAAACTATGCTGGAGTGCAAGTTCAAATACATTCACCATTTATTAAGTATTGTTTCAGTAAATCAGTAATCTATCCTTGATAGACTAAATGGAATAACAATCTGTGAGGCTGCCTTACTCAGCTTGAGTTTGGGAGAAGCCATGTCATCATCATCAGGCAGTGGGCCCAGCTCTTTCCTTTTATCCTTGAGTAACTTCTCCAGGATGTGTGCATCGTTGTACACCTATATTCCATAAATATATTTAAAATTATTTTTTAAAATACTTCCTATTGAAATATACCACATACCCATACAGAATTTTTAAAAATACAGGATAGAATTGTTTGTAACTAAAGAAATAAAGCTTGAGATTACTACCAAGTAACAAAATCACACCTCTGTGGGGTGGGCCTCAATTGGTTTGTTGTTTAAGCTTTCTGGGTGATTTTAACGTGCAGACATGTATGCTAATGTTTGACAACTACTCTAGTAGAATCATTGCAAGTGTCTCAGAAGTTTAAAACATATTTACATGTGTTTTTTCTTCATAAATCTTTTTCACTGGACCCTCAAAGTGGCACACTTAGCTTAATGAAAATTAAAAATTAAGAATATCTAATAGTTCGAGAGCAGTATCTCAAACACTGCTCTCAAATCTCATGTTAAATGGGATTTAGCATCAGTCTGAGTTTACAGTCTGGAATCTGATCTGTGAAAAGCAACAATCCCTGCTTAGGAGCTCTCTCTGAAGAATGATTGACTGAAGGGTAATACATGTAGCTGAGTACAAGGTCACATACCTAATGGCCCTCCCATTCCTCCCACAGAGGCTCTGTTTTCCCTCTCTGCTGCCAGAGAGGAAGGGCTGAGGGAATGTGACCTCTTTACTTTGGCTACCTCTTAAGGGTGGCTTTTTTCTCTACCAGTGGCAGACAAGTGGCACATTAGCCAATGGTAGTGAGGACAGTGTAAACCCCTACAACACAGAACCATTTCTTTGCTCACAAGCATCCTACTTTATTTTATATTCAAATGTAACAGCAGAAGAAAGAAAACAATGATTTGAAAATGTTATTTTATTTCTGGGAGATTGAAAATAGATAAAGAAATTTAAAAAGATACTTGCACTCCATCCATGTTAATTATAGCATTACTTACAATAGCCAAGATATGGAAACAACCTAAGTGTATATCAATGGATAAATGGATAAAGAAAATGTGGTGTGTGTACACATACGTGCACGCATGCGCGCACGCGCACACACACACACACACACACACACACAGTAATGCCATTCTTGCCATTTGTGACAACATGGATGGACCTTTAGGGCATTATGCTAAATGAAATAAGTCAGACAGAAAAAGACAAATACTGTGTGACTTCACTTATATGTGGAACCTAAAAAACAAAATAAATGAACAAACAAAACAGAAACAAACTCATACATACAGAGAACAGACTGGTGGTTGTCAGAGGTGGGAGTATGTGAAATGGGTGAAGGGGGTCAAAAGTTACAAACTTCCACGTATAAAATAAATAAGTCCTGGGGATGTGATGGACAGCATGGTGACTAAAGTTAATAATGCTGTATTGCATATTTGAATGCTGCTTAGAGGAGATATATATATATATACACATATATGTATATATATCTTTATTGATTCCAGAGAGAGTAACGGAGAGGGAGAGAGATAAAACATCAATGAGAGAGTCATTGATCAGCTGCCTCCTGCACACCTCCCACTGGGGACTGAGCCTGCAACCCGGGCATGTGCCCTGACTGGAAATTGAACTGTGATCTCCTGGATCACAGGGCGATGCTCAACTGCTGAGCCACACTGGCAGGACTAGAGAACAGATCTTAAAAGTCTTCATCACAAGAAATAAATTTTGTAACTACGTATGATGACAAATGTTAACTAGACTTACTGTGGTGATCATTTCGCAATACATACAAATATCAAGTCATTATGTTGCATACATGAAACTAAAACAATGTTATATGTCAACTGTACTTCATGAAATAGAAAAAATATCAAAGAAAGAAGAATTTAGCTTAGCTACACTGATAAAACTGAAAATCAAGATCCCTCATACAAAATCAATTACTTATAGGTGCACTTATGGGATTATTTTCATTCTTACAGAATCATAACATTTTATGAACTATCCTTAAAAAAAATGGCTATTGAGGGTAGTAATAATAATAATAATGAAAGATTTTAATGCCACTGGCTTTCATAAGAGTGCTTATTCAAACAGCAAGCACAATGGTATACACTATCTCATTTAAATCCTATAACCACCTTGATGCATGTACTATTATTATCCCCAACTGACAGATGAGAAAAATGAGGTTTAGAAAAGATAACTCACTTACGAAGGGACTGGCAGAGCAGTATTCAAATCTAGGATGTCATATTATAGAGTATAAACTTTTAACCTTTATAATGTACTGCCTCCCATTTAGAATAATTAAGAAAAGACAAAGTATTAAGCTAGTCACTGAGAATATCTATATCTAGTCTCTCAAAATCTATTATTCTACAAGCACCCAAAAGAAAATGTGTCTACTCCATGATTCCTATACATCCTTACCTGGGAGCCCTCCTCATTATAGTGCCTGGCATTCCGAAACATCAACTTCATGTCTTCTATCATTCCCTCTTCCCCTGCATATTTGTCATTGCGGATGTTATGCTCAATTATTTTCAAGTCCATTGGCTCCAAAATGATTTTATAGTAATCAGGATAGTCCTTTTTGGATGGTTTAACCATAAATAGATCACAAAGTCTTCTGCCTGAACCTGGCTCACGAGCTTCAAGAACAACATTGAATAAGATTTTCATTCGCTGCTTTCTTATGTTCTTTTTACTGTTGAAGGGGGAGGTAGAAAAGGGGAAAAGAGAACAGATTCAGGTTTTTTTTATACAAGGGTGAATGTGAAGTGAAAAAAATTAATCTTGTGGGCAAGTGCTTCATAATGATTATAATTTATTGATTACTTATACCACAAACACAGTAAACATGCTGGAAGCTACAAGCAGTTATTAGAAAAATTTCCAAAATCATTAAAACATAGTGACTATGGTAGGAGCAGCCAATGAACACCAGACAAACCTGTTTAGAATATTCATGAAATGCAATGCCTGAAAAAAGATCTTGTCTGACAGCCAAAGAAAATAAAATCTTATCAATTGAAATGTATTTTTTAGAGCAAATGTGAAATAAAACTGATTCCCTACTGTTATTAGCCGTTCTCACTTAAAAAATACACACACAAAAAACAAACACACACACGAAAGTGTTCTCTCTCTTAACCACAATGAACACCTGCATATCCTGATTATCAGAAAACAAAGTGAGTCTGCCCATCAGATTAGTTTCTATAGTAGATACAAGTCTCTCTTGCATTTACCCTATCAGGGTTAGTCCCTGCTTCCTTTTTCCATCAGCATTTATTCCACAATCCCAATCTAGCTTAAAGAATAAATGGTCTGTGGTTCATCTGAGCTCCTGAGTAAACTTTCATCCTTGAGTGTGAATCCCTGTCTTGTTCTCCAAATTCCATCAATGAGATATGATGCTAAGAAACAGAAGTGAGTTGGTATGGAACAAAGGCAAGGGACCACAGATTAGAACCTGAGTTAAAAAGGGGCCCATAAGGCCCTGGCCGGTTTGGCTCAGTGGCTGGAGCATCAGCCCTCGAACTAAAGCGTCCTGGGTTAAATTTCAGCCAAGGACACGTAACTCAGTTGCAGGCTCCATGCCAGTTGGGGTGTGAGCAGGAGGCAACAAATCAATGTTTCTCTCTCTTGCTCCCTCCCTTCCACTCTCTCTGAAAAGCAATGGAAAAAATATCCTCAGGTGAGGATTAAAAAAATAAAAGGGGGGTGACCCATAAGAACATATGGGCTAGTCTCCCAATTGTTGAGGAAACTGGCTCAAAGAAGCTAAATGACTTGACCAAGGTGAGCTGTCCAGTGCATTATTAGAACAGATGACCTTCCAATATGATTTCTGGCCCAATGCTTATCTTTCAGGACACTGATAAGGAATTCTAGCCAAACTCAAACCAGCAGTCTCCAAGTGAACAGGAATACAGGTAATAAAAAGAAATGACGGCCCTGGCCAGTGTGGCTCAGTGGTTAGAGTGTCAACTCGAGGACTGAGGGTCATGGGTTTGATTCCCGTACCTGGGTTGCAGGATCGATCCCCAGCCTCTCTTGGAGGGTGTGCAGGAGGCAACCAATCGATGTGTTTCTCTCACATCTATGTTTCTCTCCCCCCCACTCCCTTCTACTTTCTCTAAAAATTAATGGAAAAAACATCCTCAGGTGAGGATTAACAAAACAAAAAATAAAATAAAATGTCTTAGAAATTTGTACTTTCTTAGCATCATGGAGCTATTAGGAGAGAAAAATGATCCCCGTTTCCTAGGGTTGGGATCAGCCTCAGAACCTGTGTCTTCATTCAGGCTGCTCATTTCCCTTGGTGGCCCTGGATCACTCCTGCCATTTCCTCCTCTCAGTATTTTTGTATCTCTATGTCAAATATGTGATTGTTATATGAAGGCAATCTAGAAGAAGTTTCATCTAGTGTAAACTATTTCTCCAAAGAGGCATCCTGGGGCAGTGAAGTGAGAGGAAGAGTTCTCTCAGTCCAGGACTTTAGCAAGTGGATAATGGAAGGGGAACTTGGGACGAAGCTCCAATACCACATCTAGGGAGACATTAGAACACAGATTACTTTAACCTTCAGGAAGCCTCTAAAGAAAATTTTCAGAACCTGAATTTAATATCACAGAATACTGAAAACTACTAAAGTCAGATATGGTTTCTTTAAGATCTCACTTGTGGGTGCTGAACTTCAAAAGGAAGACTCAGGAATTCAATTTTAAACATCTGAGTTTAAAAGATCTTTTCAACAATCAACTCAGAATGAAATCACTCCTCATTCCAGGAATACCAAGCAGAATAGTTCAATTGAGGCCCTTACCTGGACCAAAAGGAGATCAACTCTATTCACTTCCTAGTTCCAGCACAGCACTCCCAATTACCATTAGGCTTTTCTGTATGAAACTACAAGTATTCTAATTGTGAGTGAGTCTAGGGAAGAATTTTGTGAGATTTTTAAAGAGAAAGAAAAGCTTTTAATTAAATTTTAGGTAAAATGCCAAAAAGTAAAAGAATAGCAAGTGGTCCATTCTCCCAGCTCGAATAACTGACACTAGGCAGTTTTGAATGGAACATACTCAAAATGCAAAATCTAATTGTGTTTAAGAAACTGCTTTAATAACTGAAATTTACTGTGTTTTAAGACATGTATTACTAATAGCATCCTTTCTACATTTGTATCATTCACGATTTAAGAGAGTGACGTGTAACTGGTTTCCATACTCAAAGGCAAGCAAAATTTTTGTTATTAGTGTCACTTGGGATTTTTCCTGAACAAATCCAGTTTTGTTATTTTGTGTACATTTTTCCAAATCCTTAAATTGCCTTTGAGAATGACAACTACTGGCTCACTAGTTTTAATCTGGCTGTCAGAAAACATGCAGAGCTAAATTTCTATTCTTTTATAATAACTATTTAATAGTTATTATATAATAACTTTTATAATACCTATTAGACTAGGTAGCTAGTATATCCGCTTTATGTTTTTCCAATATGGATGCCAAACTTTATTATATCCTTGACTTTTGAAAGTAACTTGAAATACTTTTTGAAATGAGACTATATTACAGAAAGACAGCTACCATATATATTCCCTGTTTGATATTTTCTGGTTACTGTTTTCACTGTCACTTTGCTTTTCAGATTCTTTGTAGACCCCTCTATGCATCCTACCACTCTCCTCAGACCATTAACTGTAAACAGTTTGTTTACTTTTCCCCATTTTGGAAAAAGTGCATAAATTAGGTTCCAGACCTTGTAACTGGCCTACTCATTCTTCTTATCTTTATCAGCATTTTGAACATAGTAAAGTAAAATACATCTGAAGGGAGTTCAAAACCAGGGCTGCTTATCATTGTGCACTTAAGGAGATGCCGATTCAGATCACAGACATTGTTATAATAAACATACAATTCTAGAATTTTATAGGAGATGAGCCATAAAGAGTCCTGTGCTAAAATCAGTATCCTACAGCAATTTCCCAACAAATGAAAGTCAAGTGTCTTGAGAAATGGGTGCTTTTTCTAAACTGCACAAAGATCATGAACTGGCAAAGGCTGTGTTCTGAATCCCTGATTTTCCAGGACCTCCTCCATCACCACCCTCCTGACCCCTAAATCAGCCAGAAGCAATGGAATTACTCTCACTTTTTCCTTCTCTTAGTGTATTACCAAGTTTTAGAGGACCTCCATAGCTCTTCTAGATCTGAACTTTCCTTTCAATTTTTCATGCCAAAGTGTTAGTCCTAACTCTCATACTTTGTTGCTGACCACTTTCTCAAATGTCCTTAATTATTCTTTCTCTGAAGCTATTATTTATTATATGTATATGCATACACACACACACACAGTTCTATTTATAGTTATAGCTAACACTTCTACCTTGTGCCAGAGACTGTGTTAAGGACTATATATATATTCTCACTTACTCCTACAACTCTGACAACCAGGTACAATTATCATCCCAACTTTGCAAATGTAAAAATGGAGATTTAGAGAGGTCAAGTGAATACCTAAGGCCATAAAATGAGTAATCAGCACTGAGACAAATCAGCTGATAATCACCAGAATGCTTTTATCATGTCCTTCCCTTTCTCAAGTTAATGCTTACCAAGAGCCTCTCTAATCAAAGTCTACTCTGTTCATAGGCTTCAAGGTAGCCCAGCATTTAACTCACTGGCCTAGAGCTTTCAGTGGTGCCTGCTGTTAAGCTAAGTAAATCCAAAGGTTCTTTCTTTTACAAGATTTGCTACATTTAATCTTCAAGTCTTCAAGAAATAAAACTTTTCATTCATCTTTTCTAACACATTTTCCCAGACTAGTAACATCTAACTAAAAAAAAAAATGAAATCTACTGACTTCAAAAATTGATGTTAACCAAAACTACTTCCAGAAAATAATCAGCGTCACATTTATTGAGTACTTACTGTATCCAAGCTCAGTTCTAAGGTCTTTAAACATATTAACCAATCAGGCCCTTGCAGCAATCCTATGTAGGTATTGTCATCAATTCCTTGTTCAGATGAGGAAATTGAGGTGAGGCTCTTATCAGAGCTAATAATAACTGAGATTTGAACCTGGGCAGTCAGGCTCTAGAACCTGGGGTTATAACACTACTCCCTGATACCCCACACTTCTATTTCTAATACTACTCAGAGTCAGTGTCATGTACTATGAGTAATATAAAAGAAATACAACCCATGGTCTTTTAAAAAAATACTTCTTCCTAATACTTAAGGTAAGATATTAGGAAGAAGATAATAACAGTAATTTTATAGGATGGACTACATATGGTAGCAACATGCAAATAAGTTTAGAATACTAACTTTCAAGGAAAAACATAGTAGGGAAGTCATATTTCCTAAAGCTATTTGGGCAATCATGAAATATTTCTACACAACTGCACAACTGTGTATCTCATGTAATTATTTTAGTGCATTGCTCCCACATAGTTTCATTTGTTTTTAACCTGCCTCTTTTCTTGGCTTAATAAGTTCCTGACAGGTATAGGTGATGATTAAATGTTCTCCTTTTTGACCTATAAGAACAGAATCTGGTGTTCTGCAAGCAACTGATATTCCGTGAATGCCAGATAGCAAAGGTAAAAATAAAAGCACCACACAATTATTACTAGGACTATAGCATGGCAATTCATAGGCTGTTTTAAAAATCATAAGTAACATGCAAAATAATGGATGCTTTTAAAGAAATAAAACATGGACAAGATCAGAGACTGAGAAAACATGTTCATGCTCAAGAAGCACTAACCCAATGGTACGTATAACACAGACTGACATCACTTGGATTGTCAACATTGATTTTAATTCCTCCACCCTCCCCAATCTGTAAAAGGAACCCCTGAAAGGGAGTTAGCACCCGATTACCCCTGGATGCTGGCAATGCCACCATATTCTCACTCTCCAATTTTTGAGGCAGAAGCACAGCTACAATGATTGGTGAGAGGGCTTGTTGCCCCCAGCCAACCTAGCAACAAATTAAGGCTCCTGAACATATCTAGGCTAACTAATCCTGACTTTATTTACTATCCTTCTAAACCATGCTGCTTTATTTACTCATAAAATAAACTAGCACTCAAATAAAAACCATTATTTCACATGCTTAAGGCTTCGCTTTTCACCTAATCAGTACTACTAACCATGTCACAGAAGCTTACACTTTTAAAAATGTTTATGCATAAAAAAAGACTGCACACCTGGAAAGCCTCCTGAGACCCAACATCTCACTGTCAAGAGTGTTCCTGGGAAAGCAGAAACAAACATTACATGTGAAGAGAAAATAAGCAACATCAGAGGGTCATGTATAAACCAAATATGGTTGAGAAAAAATGGATTTATTCAATCCAAAAGATAAAAGATATTAAGAACACTTGGAACATTTCAACATGGAAGACAGCAGGTAGATTTTTGGGTAGAGGGGTGAGGGAGAAGAATGCACTCCCACAATGAAGAGAACAGAACACATTAATTTTTCTCAGACTTTTTAATATTAAAAAATAAGGCAAAGATAGAATCATACTTGGAAAACTTAGCCCTGACTGCTCTGGACAACCTTAACTTAACTTACTAGGCTGCTGTGTTTGCGTGAATTTTGGAGAAGTCTATTTCTTTCTTTTTTTTTTTTAGAGAAGTCTATTTCTTATTACTAAAACCTCCTAACAGAACTACCTTCTAAAAGGCTCATTGTGTTATTTTTTTTGTCACAGTCCAAAGTACGGGACTTCTTTCAACCTCTTAATGTCCACTCATGCCTATATTTCATACCTGGGTGTTCTTGTACTGCTTTACCTATGATTTATATTTGTTCTTCTCTTATTTCTGTTTTTCACTTCATTATACAAAACACTTCCTAGGAAATCTTGTTCAGAAAGGGACTTTTGGTCTGAAGTGGGATTTTATTATTTCAAAAATTTAATGCTGTTTTCTTTTTACAGGTTTTAAAGTAATATCTCTTTCATTGAATCTACTTTGGTTGTCCCACAGACTTCATGCCTGGGTTAATGCATCCTTGGAACTGTTTTGTTTTTTAACACTTAACTAGTTTAAAATTTCTCTTTTCATTCAGTGTTGGCACTAATTGTACCATCACTTTTGCCTCCATTACCTTCTTTTGCCTTTTTATCTTTGATTGGTGACTGATCTGGAAAACACGGGTGATGCTGTAGTAGTTATATAATTACACTCAAAGATGTTCTTGATTTGATGTCTCTGATCTGCTTTCACATTTTTCCTCCGTTGTCCCTGGTATAACAAGGAATTAAGAACTTGGAAGGATGAAATTCATAGGCCAATAATGGAGGAGACTCACATCTCAGGGTACACCAATCAATTTAGTTACCATGATGGCATAGACTAGCAAAGTTATTTTCAAAGCTAAAAAAGTTTTCCCAAATCTATTTATAAGAGGATAAGACAGGACAGCTTCTCTTTCCTAAACCACTTTTTAATCCTCTCATCTTAGTGGATCTATTCATGCATGAACAGAATTGTATCAACAGTTACTAAAGACTTCTTCATTCAGCTTTGAATTTGCCAAACCCTGCTATTAGTGATTAGCTTATTCCTTGTCTAAGGTATCCTCCCTGGATTGACTGCTGCTAAAAAGATGGTGAGAGAGTTAAGGCTGAGGGGGAATACAGTATTCCACAAAGAACAAGCCAGAGAAACTCCATGTGGGAGGCATGGACAAAAGAGATGGGTCTTGCATGATTCTTTACAGAAGTCCAGCTTCAGAATCTCCCAGTAAGGTACCCTTCCATAAAACCGGTGAGAGAAAGAAAGGGTTAGGGAAGCTGAGAGAAAAGTTAGAAAGAAAAGAAAACCAAATATCTAGTTTAACATTTTATGAACTACAAGAAGTTATGACTTGGAATTTTATAATCTGACATCAGTAAAATGGCAAATAAAGATCACATTAACAAGAAAAAACAAAGGAGTAAGAGTAATGACTTACTTCATTGCAGTGATAGTACAAAATTTTTTGTAATTCACCATGAAAAATTACCCAAATGAGATTTACGTGGAACTATTAAAACACCACATTAAAACAAAATAACCAGGACAATAAAAAGAACATGTTTTTCCAACCTATGTAAGTAGTTGTCATTTTTATCTATATCATCTCAGAGCAATATGATACTTGCACAAAAAAGCACTAGTCATATAGTTTAGAAATGAATTCTAAAAGAAAACATGTTATCAAATATTTAAAGCTTATAAAAGAATTCATGCTTGATAGCTTAAAAAACATTTTTCTGTACATATCTAAAACAAAATAAAAAGAAACTGAGAAGATGTCTCTAGTTATGAGAAGAGTGTATACCTTTTTCTTTTGGCACTACTAGTATCTGAAGTGGCTGAAGAAATCATGCTGTCTCCATCCTCAATGTCGTCTCTCCTGGCAAGCTCCTTCTTCTTTGCCTAAAACAGAGCAGATCCTGGGAGTCAAGCTCACTCTGCTGAGCACTCCTAGAATATATGAATATTAAAGAGCTAGACATATCAGATTCACCCAGAGATAAAACCACACATAGGACACATAAAATTGAAGACATTAAACATTTTCAATAACTCAATTTAACAAAAGCCTGCATAACAAAAAAGTAGGTTAAAAGAATGGATCTAGAGGGTTGAGAAATCAACACTACCTAAACTGAATTTAATAGTACAAAGGGCACCGACTTGTTAAAAGCACTGAGGCAAGTTGAGCTGTAGGTGCATCCTGCTCTGGTGGCCATATTTAATTTAAGTAAAGCCAACTCAAAGGTGGCCTTTGGTACCCTTGATTTCTTTTTTTAAATATGTTTTTATTGACTTCAGAGAGAGGAAGGGAGAGGGAGAGGGGGAGAGAGAGAGAGAACATCGATGATGAGAGAGAGTCACTAATCGGCTGCCTCCTGCACACCCCCAACTGGGGATTGAGCCCACAACACGAGCATGTGCTCTGACCGGGAATTGAACCGTGACCTCCTGGTTCGCAGGTTGACACTCAACCACTGAGCTATGCCAGCTGGGCTGCGCTTGACTTCTTAAGCAACTGTGTGGCTAAGAAGAAAGTTTAATGTGAGTGGTGAAAGAAGATCTTCTTTTCAGCACATGCATTTTTAAAGACCTCCTGCCAAACACAGCTGAAAGTCAAACCACAGCAGACTTAAGGAATACATATGAAGTACTGAAAAGGAAATACTTGAAATCTATAGCACTGATCATAGTGTTAACCATACAAGATGAAGATTCTACGGGTCATCTAAAATTGTTTTTGCTGCTTCCTTGCTCTGAGATTCATTTTTCAGAAAGATTCTACCAAAAACTGACAAGTAGACACAATTCTTATTTCATATCCATGCCTTTGTCTCAAAACCCCTATATGACCCATACCTCAGACACCCTCCAAGATGTGCTATTGGAAGGATTTGATAAACTCATGGACACTGTACAATGATTAATTAGCTTTAAGATGCTCTTTCTCCTAGGACCAACAATACCTCAAAAGAGACAAAGTCTAGAACCAAAGAAATAAAATCTAACTCATAGAATATCACCTATGACTGGAGGGAAACTTCCTGAGGACCCTAAAATCACTCTGCAGAGACAAATTCCTGTTGCTTCTACTCACAAAACTAACCCAGTCTAAACTATTATTTCTACTTTATATGGTCCTGATAATTCTAAAAAAATATTCAGCAGTACTTATGGTTGAAATAAATGATGTGATCTTGCTGGGGGAAATCATGTATCTTAAAAGAACATTCTCAAAAGGTGTAAAATTATTTGTTATACATACAACTTAGCAAAATTCTTTTAGTTATACATACAAAAACTTAGCAAAACCAAGATATCATACCTGCATGACTTGCTGCAATTTTAGAACTCGCTTGTATATGGCTGAATTGGGAACATTATAGCGTTTGGCATTTTCAAACATCAAATTCAGATCACACTCCAAATGATCCAAAGTTTCATACTCTTGGTTCTTTAGTTTCATTCTGTGGAAGACAAACATGAAAATTATGAAACATCTTTCCTCAAAGTTCAGTGCAAAAATCCTAATAAGCACTAGATTGGTATCTTTACTAGTGATACTGATTAGAGGTCTGAAAGTGATATTTTTAAGATATAAAGTAATGAGGCAAAAAGTACCATTATATTTAGGCAACATGACAATTTAAAAATACAAAAAAACAAACTAAAACACTGTAAGAACTAATAAAGGGATCTAGTAAGGTGGTCAATTACAAAGCAAATATACTAGCAAAAATCCTAATGGGAAAATTCTGTTAGTGACTAACATGCAAACCCTAGGAAGAGACAAAAATCAGAAAGGTTTATTATTATTATTTTTTTAATCCTCACCAAAGGATATTTTTTCCATTGCTTTTCAGAGAGAGTAGAAGGGAGAAAGAGAAAAAAACATTGATGTCAATTGGCTGCCTCCTGCACACACCCCAACCAGGGCAGGGATGGAGCCTGCAACTAAGGTATGTGCCCTTGGCCAGAATCAAACCTGGGACCCTTCAGTCCCCAGGGCGATGCTCTAACCACTGAACAAACTGGCTAGGGGTAAAAAATCATGAAGGTTTAAACTACCTTAATAAAGAATCATGGCAATCCTCCCGTTTCTGAAAATTAGAAACCATTCCTGTTCATGAAAGTTAAAGAAAAGAGAAAGTACTGGCAAAGCCATTAAGGAGCATTTAGAGTAACCTATTTACCCCTCAGAGTTGTTATATATAGACAATGAAGAGTGGTCTTAAGATGGTAAATGAAAGGCAGAAATCCTCCAATATAAACATTTGTAACTAATTAAAATTGAAGTTTTAAATTTACTTAAAAGTCTTAAGAATTCTGACATTTCTCTCAGACATTATGGCTATTACTAACACCAACTCTCATGAAGTCCCTGTGCATGTTGTACCAAGTGAAGAGTCATGGTTTGCCCTAACTCTATATGCATTTAGACAGGATAGACTTTTAAACCTATTGATTACAGCACTTGCACTCTTCATCAAAGTCACAAAAACAGTAGTAAGAATCACAATATGTGTAAACAGCTTCACAGAATAAATGTTGAAATTCCAAACTTTTCTCTTAGAATGACATTCCATTATGCATGTAAAGTTTTACTTAAAATTTACCAAAATCATATGCAGATTCCATACAGTGCTTAAAAAGATAGGAATGTTAAAGAACATCTCTGAAATGAAGCAAAAAACAACACTAAGAACAAACTCAGTTCTCAGTACCAGCTTATGCAGCTAGCACCCAGTGTTTCAATTACAGCCTCAGACTTATTTCTGCCAACTCAAAGGGTAATGTGCTGGGTGTTCTCGATACCCACAAAGAACAGAGAACCCACGCTTGTAAATGACAATCTATAATAAATGTGAAATTATTTACCACAATAATGTTTTTTGGGTTTTTGTTTTGTTTTGTTTAAAATATATCTTTATTGATTTCAGAAAGAGGAAAGGAGAGGGAGAGAGATAGAAACATCAATGATGAGAGAGTCATTGATCGAGCCCGCAACCCGGCATGTGCCCTGACCGGGAATCGAACCCCCGATTGCCTGGATCCTAGGTCGATGCTTAACTGCTGACCCACGCCTGGCCGGGCTCCACAATAATGTTTAGGATAGTGGGTTGAGGAAAGAACAGAATGGGAAATAAAAGATGGAGCCACATTGTCCAGCCTCTGCCCACTCTTCATTTTTGTTGCTTTTGATGACACTCAACTATCTTCTTTCTGCCAACAAATCTTCCTAGGACTATGTTGTATAATATAGTAGCGACTAGCCACATGTGGCTATTTAAATCAAAGTTAAATAAAATTTAAAACCTAGTTTCTTAGTTCTACTAACCACATTACAAGTGCTCAACAGTCACATGTAACTAGTAGCTACCATACTGGACAGCACAGATCTAGATTTCTCTGTTGGTTGTTGTAGAGCACAATGGAAGGCAGCCCAGCTCCTGTGAGGCACCACTAGCCCAGCATGTGTCCTTGGAAAGGCAGATTAAGATATCCTAAAAGTTGACCCTTCAGAACCCTAGTGTGCTACCAGCTAGGTCTCAGCCACTTCTTTGTTCCTCATACTCCCCTACCTGTGTGTCATACATCTGTCACAGTAAAGTTTAAAAGGAGAAAAAGGTGAAAAATTATTGACTTGACAAAGGAAGGTTTATATTAGAAAATTCTAACTTGAAAGAAAGTTGTAGGCAAGTGAATGAGCTGGCTGAGGATTTGTTATCTTCTGAACTAAATTAATTAGACTGTTTGAATTTTAAAAAAAAGGCAGCAGAAGATAATAATGACAAAAACTATTCATTAAAAGAGAACCTCTCAACATTTACAAAACTGTCACCATCTTTTCTAAGGTGAAGAGTATAAAAGACAAATTTCTAGGCTATTATAAATGGCAGCCTTAATTTCCATGTTATTTTAAGAGGGACAAATCAGCTAATTTATATATCCTACTTGTGTACAAAACCTCCAAAGTTTGGATTAAATAAAAACACCATAAATCTTACTGATAAAATGATGAAAATAAAAGTTTCAAAAGCAAAATCATAGAACATGCTTATTTAAACAACCTTATTTCCTAGAATCCAGTGAAAACAAGAATTTTAATTCCTACTGTTTGAAAGGTTAGTTATCTGCCATGAAAACATCATGTAAATACCAGCTTAATTTGACCTTGCCCACAGTAAGATATTTTTACCTGCTTCATGCCTCTATCTGGGTATTTTTACCTGCTTCATGCCTCTATATTGCAAAACCTAACCCACATGTGGGAGTTCCAGAACATCATATTTCTTTAATAATATTACTTATTTCCTATTATTTTTAACAATACTGTGGTGGTTTAAGTATTGCCTGGCTGAATCCCCACTGATCACTTTAACATTGTCTAAACAAAAAAGGGAAGCCAACATCAACCATCTTTCAGTTATTGTTTCAGCTAATAAATTCTCTAAGAGTAGTCTAAACTTTTTTGGGGGGGGAGGGGATTCAACTATAGATAAACACTTTAAATACAGATAAATTGTTGTAATTAAAATATCAGTAAAAGGTATAGAAAAATTTTTGTACTTTGTTCACTTATAAGAAAATGAAGTCAGCCCGGCCGGGCGTGGCTCAGGGGTTGAGCGTCGACCTAGGATCCAGGTGATTGGGGTTTGGTTCCCGGTCAGGGCACATGCCCGGGTTGCGGGCTCGATCGGTGACTCTCTCATCATTGATGTTTCTCTCTCTCTCTCCCTCTCCCTTCCTCTCTCTGAAATCAATAAAGATATATTTTAAAAAAGAAAAAAAAGGAAAATGAAGTCAAATTTTAAGCTGCATGACTTTTTATAATCCATAATCTGACACAAAAATGTCTAGCTAGAACACCCTTCATCAATTTGCCTCTTGACCCTTTTACAGAACAAAGAATAAAGTTTTAATTTAATCAAATTTATTTCTCATAATAGGAGCAATATTCAAGCATACTCTAGACATATGAAAAACGTTTTTAATACCTTTAATATCTTTTCCTTTTAGGAAGAAAGATTTATGTGCAGGCTCAGCCACAAGAAAATGAATTTATACCAAGTAATGTAGAAGACATCTTACCTGATCTGTTGTAGTGATATGGGCATTTTAATTTGCTGATAATAATCAGGGTATTTTTTCTTTGAGGGCAAATGCAAAAAAGGTTCAGCAATTAGCTGCCCTTGGTTATTCCGACAGCTCCTAACTGTGTCATAAAGCTGATAAAAAGGATTTGAAACATCCATAAATGAAGTAATGCTCTCTGCTTCCGATTCTCCTTCTTCATAACGTGCAGCTAGAAAGACAAAAAAGGTATTTATAAGAAAAAAAACTTTACTCTGAAAAGCTCTTTTACCAACCTTCCAGGTTAAGCTATATGTTTAAGAATACTTTAAAATAATAATCTCTACCCTTCACTAAGGATGATGTTAGTAATGCTTAATATAATTGTATGTTTACTTAGAGAAATGTTATACAGAAATAGATTAAAATGTTACATAATAAATTTGCTATTTTTAAAAGGTTACAAAATAATTTCTCTTTTTAAATGTGCCTTCTTCACAGAATCCTTGCTCTGTATGCTTGGCCAAGAAAAGGAACAAGTAGCCTCTAAGATGGTTCTCAGAGCTGAAATGTAAAAGCTACCACTAAAATTCTTAGAAGAAAATGTAGGTGTAAATCTTCGTGGTGTTGGATTCGGTAACTGATTGACAACTACTCAGTTTTTCTTAGTAACTGAAGTGACTAAATAATAATCCTTTTGTGACAACAGTACTATTTATTATTAAAAAAGCAAATAATTTTTAGGAATTATGTAAATAGGGTGCTTTTCCTTCAACTTGTTATATTACTATAAAGTTAATGAAGTAACCAAATGCTAGAAGCAAACCTAAACATAACAGGTGTGTCACTTTTAAAGTAAGCAAAAAACAAAGCTAATGAAAAGATAAATTTTCTTTTGATTTTTGTAAGACTAGGCCTAATTTAAATTTAAAAAAAATTTAATTCTGTAGATAATTATAAAAAATTAAATTCATGTCCTAGCCAGTTTGGCTCAGTGGTTAGAGGGTCAGCCTCCAAACTGAAGGGCCCAGGGTTCGATTCTAGCCAAGGGCACATGCCTCAATTGTGCACTGGATTACTAGCCCGGTTGGACACATGTGGGTGGCAACCAGTTGATGTGTGTCTCTCACACTGATGTTTCTCTCTCTCTCCCTTCCACTCTCTGAAAAGCAACGGAAAAAATATCCTCAAGTGAGAATTAAAAACAAAAATTTTAAAAAAAGTTAAATTCATACTATTAAGTAGTCTACAGTAATTATGAAATGTTAATAGAAGATTTAGTACAAAATAACATACAGCTGGAAAAATCTGTTCTATCACACCTGATTAAAAAAATCAAAAGATATGCCACAATAACTTCATGAAACAAATTTTATCTTTACATATAAAAAAATATCTGCAGTAAAATAAATATTATATCACACTTAAGAGAAAGACAATGAAATCAAATATATCTCTATAGCTGTTCTTCAGGTTGCTATTTAACAAACTGTGTGCTTTTTACATGGATCGTTAGTGCTCAATGCCCTTTGTTGGACTTGTTTAAATGACAATTTACTGTGCTGCTCTGATTATAATTTACATCTATCTTAAAGTAATAAACTGTAGCCAAGAAAAAATTATAGCGTACTGAAACTATAAATCAGTAACCTGGAAATCTAAGATGATGTGAATGTTTTCCTGGGATTACCTGATGTTGTTACTAGTCTCACTATCACAGGTTTGAAACCAGGACCTGCTAAAGCTATCAAACTAACTGTTTTGAAAGAAATATTTATTTACTCAAATACAAACTTTAGCACAAAATAAGGCAATAAGCTTTTGATAAGTTTGCCAAAGAGTGAAATCAAAATGCCACAAAATAGCATGTACTTCAAAACTGACAAACTCTCAGCCAGACCACAGTCATTGCAATTTTCCTTAACCAGAAGGGCCCACTGAAAAGGCACTGAACTAGTCACAACCTAATGCCTACCAGCTAAAGCAGCATCCTCTTCACTTTCTGAGCCATACTGAAGTGCCATGGTAATTGCTGATAAACGACCCCCTTGGACCGCTCTTTTATTACTACAAAGAAAAACAAACAATTAGAAGACATGGAAAGACATTATAGTAATTTGGTTACTTTACAGAAAATAGGAACTGCTAACAAAGCATTCAAAGAAAAAGAATTGCTATACAACTGCCTCCTCAATTTATCTTTGTACTTTTATATTTCCCATAATCAATTTTATCCAGTACCAATTTTTTTCTTTTAGAAAAGAGGGAGTGGTGTTAGAAAGCCTAAAATAGGCTACCTGCAATTTGTTTTTAACATAAATGCAACACTATTCCCTTTTTTATGAAAAATATTCATTCATAATTACTGGTTAATTCTCTTTTAAGATGCTCATATTTTACAATGAACATAAATTCTATTATGAACACAAAACCTTTTAGATTTTACCACACATTTTACTGGTAATATTAAACATACCAGAAAAACTTCACTTAAACATTTTCTAAGAGGTGAAGTCAGGCCTACTTAAGTACCTCAACCTTTTTTTTTTTTTAATTGATTTTAGAGAGAGAGGAAGAGGAAGGGAGAAAGAGAGGAACATCAACTTGTTGTTCCACTCACCGGTTGATTTTGGCCTGTGCCCTGACTGGGGATCAAACCTATAACTTTGGTGTTTCAGGATGATGCTCTAACCAGCTGAGCTACCCAGCCAGGGAAGTACCTCAACCTTTCACATAAGGTATTAGATAACAAATTCTCATAATAACCCAACTATCCCCAAAAATATTACTTCAAGATAGCCATCAAGCAAACACTAGTATGCCTATCCTCATAAACATGGGTCAGCTCTCGGACTAAACACACTCATTCTTTCTCACCGGTAATACTTGCTAGTGGGATTTCTCTCGTCACCAAGGCTGCCTTTACTGTGCGTGGAACCTGTCAGCCTGGCTGCAGCCAAATTTGATGAAGTCCTATCCAGAGATAAGATTAAAAAAAAAACTCAGAAAACTGACAGCTAATATCAGAATGCTGGGTAAAGAAAAGGAAACAACCATTTTCTTCTTTTCTAAAAAGAAATGCTCAAATACTTTTGAGCCTCTACTGTGCAGCAGGCTTTGCTCCAAAACCTGGGGAATGGACTATGGCTGGTACTAGAGCTTATGGTCACTAAGATGATCAGAGGATCTGGCAACAAAGCAAATATCAGGGTCAGAAGAAAGCTTTGAAAGTAGCCACTCAACCTTCCCATTTCAGGTAGAAAGAAACAGAATCCCAGAAGTAAGATTTGTTCAAAGTCATAGTCCTAGCACAAAGAAAGGCCAAGATAGAATGAGACTTTAGGTCTTCTAACACCTGGCTAAATACTCTTACTGTATATATAAATATCTACTAATATACATTATATGCAAATATAAAATTACCTGTACTATAGTATACGTCATGTGTATAACATATATACAAATACAACTATACATGCTACATATACATAAAAATAAAAGCATATAGTGATGCTAAGTCTTAAAAACTGTTTCCTTTTTAAATAAAGCCCTTCAGCTACAAAGAAGGTGATGGGTAAGAGTTATACCTACTCTCTTCAGAATCACATTATAAACTGTAAATATAATCTTGAAATGCAAAATATTTCTTGTTTTCTATGGTACTGATTTCATTAGCTAGAAAATTTGGCAAATAATAAAAGCACAAGTATTTTAGACATTTTTTAAAATTGAATTTTTAGAGAGAAAGGGAGAGGGAGAGAGAGAAACATCAATGTGAGAGAGAAATATGGATCGAGCCCAAAACCTGGCTATGTGCCCTGACCAGGAATCGAACAGGTGACCTTTCAGTGCACGGGACAACGCTCACCAACTGAACCACACAAGCCAGGGCGGATTTTGGACATTTTTAAACCTACCTCATTCGAAGGCTTGACTTAGCCATTTCATGTTCAATTTCTGCCTTTTTCATATAAAATATTTTTTTAATAGAATTTGCATCCTGTCAAGACAAAATTAGTTGTCTCACAAAACGTATCAAAAAAAGGACAGTTTAAAATGCTCTCAGTCATGCACTGGACACTTTCTATGGCACTCCTTCCATTTGGAGTAGCCTTCTGTTCAACAGCCACAAAGCTGCATCCTCTAACCTTTCCACAAGCTTCCAAAATATCTTCATAATTAAATGTTTAAAAAAACCTCCCAGATTTTCACAATTATTCAAGTAACAAACAGACAAAGATCTAATGATGAACAAGGAAAAACAGTGGTGAAAATACAATGAACTCTGTGTACAATGACTTAAAATTGAAACAAAAATACACTTCTAAGATTAAAGACTATGCACTTAAACTTAGAATGAATATACTGGCTTAAATTAATAGCCTACTAATATATCAAACCAAAGTTTCCCTTCTATCTATAATTTAGTTTAGGGAAATTAATCACACCAAAAAGTAAAGTTCTTAACTGCATCAACAATTGGTAGTATACAATTAAAATGTCAAATCAAGGACTAAGAATACAAGGACTACATAATTCATTCCTGATAATCACTCAATGTTTCTTCAAAGATGAAAAAATAAAAGTTAAAATTAACTATCAAAAGTTAGTATTGATTATGTTTGAATCAGCACTCTGAAAGTCTAAATATTTTACGCCCATAAGATTTTCTGAACATCCTGTGCTAAATTCTCAATGATAATATTATTAATTAAAGAAATTTCTACAAACAACTCTTCATTATAGGACTATAAAGCTTCCACAAGAGAACTGCAAAGCAATGAAACAGTCATTTTACACTGTGTATTTATTATACTACAAAGATTGCTTTTTATATGTATGAGGTTTAAATGCAGAAACTAAATCAGTATTTAACTAAAAATGTGGACCAAAACCAAACCTTGTCTCGCATAAAGATAGACATATATACAAATGGAATAGAACTGAATCCAGAAATAAAACCATACATATATAGTCAGTTGATTTTCAACAAGGGTATCAAGACAATTCAATGGGGGAAAGAATAGTCTTTTCAACATAAGGTACAAGGACAAATGATTATCCCATGTCAAAGAATGAATGTAGATTCCTACCTAATACCTACCTCGTGTTTCAAAAATTAATTAAAAATGGATCAATGACCTAAATGTAAAAGCTAAAACTATAAAATTCTTAGATGAAAACATAGGTGTTAATCTTTGTGATCTTGAATGAGATAATGGTTTCTTTCTTTTTTTTTTGTTTTAATCCCAGACCGACTTAATTTTTCTCAGTATTATTTTGTATTAGTTTCAGGTGTATAGCATAGGGTTAGATAATCATACACTTTCCAAAGTGTTCTCCCCAATATTTCCAGTACCCACCTGGCACCATACGTAGTTATTACAATACTAGTAATGGATTCTTGATAAGACACTAAAAGCACAAATAACCAAAGAAAAAAACAAACTGGACTTACCAAAATTAAAAATGTTTGTGCATCAAAGGACACACTATTATAAAAGTGAAAAGACAATCCATAGAATAGGAGAAAATATTTGTGAATCATATAACTGGTCCAGATTATCTAAAAAAACTCTTAACTCAACAATAAAAACATAGGTAACCCAATTAAAAAAATAGACTAAGGATCTGAATAGACACTTTTTCAAAAAAATGTATGAATGGCACTTGAAAAGATGTTCACATCATCAATCACTAGGGAAATGCCAATTAAAACCACAATGAGATACTTCACATCCACTAGGATGGCTATAATAAAAACAAAAACAAAAAACAAATGTTCTTGAAGATGAAGAAATTTCACTTCCACATGGCCAGTAGGAATGTAAAATGGTGCAGCTGCTTTGGAAAACAATTTGGTGGTTAATCAAAGTTACTATATAGTTACAATGTGGCCCAGCTATTCCATTCCTAGGTATATAACCATGAAAAATGAAAACATATCCACATAAAAACTTATACATGAATGTTCATAGCAGCATTATTTATAATAGCCAAAAAAGTAGAAATAACCCAAATGTCTAGCAACTGATGAATGGGTAAATAACACATGGTGTATACGTATAATAGAATATTATTCAGCAGTGAAAAGAATGAAGTACTTACACATGTTACAACATGTATACCTTGAAAACATTATGCTAAGTGAAAAAAGAGTCACAAAGGACTACATATTATGATTCCATTTATATGAAATGTCCAGAACAGGAAAATTCACAGAGACAGAAAGTAGACTGGTGGTTGCCTAGGGCTGGGGAGGTTGGGGAAATGGATATTGACCACTGACTGGTGATGGCTGCACAACTCTGTGAATATACTAAAAGCTGTTAAATTGTATTCTTTGGGTAAAGTGTATGATATGTGAATTTTATCTCAATAAAGTTGGTATATAAAAATTACTACCTCTAAATTAAAGTATCTACTCTTATCAATAAAAACAACAATAACAAAAATACTAACCTTGAATACTTGAGAACCAGGCTCATTATAAGTTTTGGCATTTTTTGCTAGGAGATCTATATCTTTGGCCATTGCATGAATACTCTTGTAGCTTCCATTCTATAGTAAACAACAAAATATACAAGTTCCTCTTATTGAAAGTTCATCAGTATGACCTTTTAAAGAAAAGAACTCCACATATTTTTAACTTGTCACCATGTTCCAAAACTTTATTGGAAAGTACACATGAACACAATGTAAAGTCATTTTCTCTTTTATAATTTATTAATATTGTCCATTTACAAACTTGTTTTTGAGATAACAAAACCAGAGCTAAATTATTCTCATAAAAACAACTTACAATTTCTTAAAAACTCAAGTAAGGTAAAAGTTGTTTTACTTAGCGAACGCATAGTGTCTACTTAGGTGCCAAGCACTGTTCTAAGTGCTTCATTAATACTAATGAAGGTGGACTTAACAGTATAAAGTAAAACTCCTCTAGTTTAATGGACCACTTCTGATAAAATAAAAGGTCAGTCTAGCACAGATGTTAATATTTTGTGAGTACCCCATCTTACAGCTTATTCAATCCAAAATAACCCAGGAGACTCATAATTGCCTCAATTTACAGAGGAAAGTAAGGAGGGAGACATTCTAGTCAAAAGGTACACATGAGAAGGAGACAAATGAACAAACACCTTCTAGAGATATTGAGGAAACCAAATAAAGGAGAATGGAGGGTGGGGAAGGGTAGAACCATGAGCACAGGCTGCATAGGTAGAGTAGGGAAAATGAGGCAGAGACCAAAGAGCCAGGCAAAGGAGAGGAGCTGGATATTTGCCATGTAGAGATACCCAACATCTGAGCACCCTTTTTATTTGGAGGAAATCCCAGCACAGGTGGTAGGGAAGGACCTACCTTTCACAACAGAGGTTAAAAGTGGGCAGATGGTGGCTTTGCCAGCAGCTTGGCAGCCAGGGCAAGAGGAAATAATTCATGCTTGAGTCTTGAGGGACTAAAAAGACAACAGCAAGGGAATGGAAGGAATGCATTCCTAACTCCTGCAGGAGAGTAGAGTCTAGGAATGGAGCAGCAGGTGTCCAGGATCACAGTGGCAAATGACAATGGTAACAGCAATGGCACCACAAAGAGACTGTGTATGACCTCAGCTGTGCCATGACAGCCTTGAGTTCTATTTCCCATAGTTCTCCCATCTTCCTTCTCAATGATTCCATGAATTATCCAATACCCTTTTCATGGATTCCCTTTACTAGTAATAAGTCTCTGGGTAGTGGAATAGCAGGAAGAAAGCTAGGGTCAGGAAGCAATATGCAGAAAAGACTAGACAGCCTTTCATCAGAGAGGGAGGAAAGATTATTATAATTATTCAGACATAAGGAGGTTCTTGATTAGGATGATGGTGAAAGGAGCTGCTTCTGTGGGGCTTTTGGAAAGAAAAAGGAAACAAGGTGAGAGGTGACAGAGGGAAGACTGGGGCTGAGGTAGGGGTGTTTGAAGATCCAATTTGATTTTCAGTATTATGAAAACATCTTGCCCCTAGATAGGTGTTAGGAACCCCAGGGATTTAGGTTCTAGGAGACTGTCACTCCCACTAGCACCTATTAGGTTGCCTGAAAAACCGGGTGATACATTAGGGAATCTGTATTGTAACATTCAGTGTAAATGTTTCTATGGTGCCAATAATTACTACCCTGTTATTCTTTCCTACTTTTGGAATTAAAAGCCAAGGAAGTTTCTCCCTCTTGGCAAATCATTGTGCTTTCAGACTCATTTCTCAATGATGCCATAAAACACATATAATTTTCCTTTTTGCTTTATCTGCTAGGAGCCCCAAACCCTCCTTACCCTGGGAGGATCAGTCACTCACATTGACCAAGGCCACATCTCATAGGTGCTCTGGGAGATGCTTCACATACATTATCACCAACCTCTACAACTGTGAAGCAGTAATACTACACTCAGCATACAGCAGAGGAAGCAGGCAGATAGCCCGACCAAAGTGACGTAGCTAATAAGAAGCAGAGCTATGAAAATAGCCCATGTCAGTCTAAACTCTAAAAACTAGATTTCTGGTATAATTTACCTCATTTTTCCTATACTTTCCTTAACCTATAATCACTAAATTTTCATTCTCATTCATTTTCATTCACTCAATATTTACTCTGTGGAGAGGAAGTAACAGTGTAGGGGTTAAGAGCACAGACTTTGGAGCCAGGCTGCCTGGATTCAAATCCTAACTCTTCTCCTTACTAGCTGATGACTCAGGCAAGTGACTTACCGTCTCCGTGCTTCAGTTTTCTCATCTCTAAAATGCAGTTGTAAGAATTAATTAATACATATAAAGCACATAAAATACAGCAGGCACCTAGCAATTCCAGGTGCCTGTTGCTGCTGGGATACATGGAAGAGGGCACTCAAAGAGAACAAAGTCTCTATTTTCACTGACCTTAAACACTGACAATCTGTTGTAATTTTTATTCTGAGATTTCCTAAAACTATTTGGAAACAGATAAAAATAAACAACAAAGCTTTTATTGCTAATGTACTTTTCACAATTAAAAATGTCCACGACCAATGCTTTTTAATTATTGTCCTAAGAGCAAGATGTAATATGTCAGTGAAAATTTTACTTTCCTCCCTACAGGAAAAATGCAAAAGGGATGCTAAGCTGCCTCCTCCAAAACTATAATCAGTAACTCCACTCTTATTTGTTTACATTACATTAATGAAATACCCCTTACAGAGACATTTGCTTCTCTGTTTTCTAAAAGCCAGTAAGAAAGACCACTGGCTAATCTACCCTAAACCACATATAATTACATATGTTCATCTTCATACCTGTATCCTCTGGGCAATGGTCTTGAGATCTATAGGTTCCTTAATTATTGCATAATAGTCTGGATATTGCTGAAAGACAAAAAGCCAGGCATGCTTAATAGGTGAAAGTATTCAGCTAATGAGAAAACAAGGAAGCACACTGATATTGACAATCTTAATCAATTGAGCAGCTTTGAGAGATTCAAAACTAAAGACACAGCTGCTCAGTATATTGTTTGTTATAGTTAAAGCAGAAAGAATTTGAGTTTAACATTTTTTTTTTTTTAACATATCTTTATCGATTTCATAGAGAGAAAAGGAGAGGGATAGAGAGACAGAAACATCAATGATGAGAGAGTCATTGATCGGCTGCCTCCTGCAGGCCCCTGACTGGGAACCAAGCCCGCAACCCAGGCATATGCCCTGACTGGGAATCGAACCCCGATCGTCTGGATCCTGGGTCAATGCTCAACCGCTGAGCCACACCCGGCTGGGCTGAGTTTAACATTCTTCATGAACCACCCAACAACATGTAGGAGTTTACAGATAGTATTTGGTAATTATCATTATACAAATAATACACCACCACTTAATGTTTTAAAAAATTCTAAATTCACAGAATCACACGAATTAAATTTAAGGTCCTAAGTTATCAATGTCTAGAAATTAAGTAGAGGAATGTTTTTGAAGAACTTATTATAAGCTCTCTTAATTTTGCAATCTAAATAATACAATTATATCTCATTTCATATAAAATTCTTAAGGATCTATAAGAAGTCAGGCTGCAAGAATTGTTAGTTTCACATTTAACTTAATTCTTACACACTATAAATGAAACTACGTTCAATAAACGAAGCAAAGTTCTGTTTTCTTATCAAATATTAGCTTATCAAAATATTTAAAATTATACATGTTAGAGGAACGTCCTTGAAGGGTTTCACAAAGCCTACAGTGCATGCACTGCCCTGAGCCTTTCCTACAGGTTATGTTCCTTAGAGGAAATAACTGAAGTTGACCAAAATTCAAAAGTTGGTCTCAGGTGAGAGAGGTGTCAGAGGAAGTTAGATTGTGCTCTCCAGGCTCTTCCTACCTGTTCAAATCTTGGAGCCCAAACAACAACAAAAAGCAGAAGGCCACAGCTTTCACTCAATTACTAGGCTGAGGGGATGATCTCAGTGATGTTTTACCTTATCAGATCCTTCTGCTTACCCCTCTATTTTCTTAACCTTACTACTCCTCCTTTCTTTGCTTGGATCAAACCCCTTTCCTGTTCACTCTCTTCACCAATTCTACTTGTGAGAAACAGTTTAGCCCTGGCCAGTTTTGCTCAATGGTTAGAGCATCAGCCCTCAGACTGAAGGGTCCCAGGTTTGATTCCAGCCAAGGGCAAGTACCATGGTTGCAGGCTCGATCCCCTGCCCAGTCAGGGTGCATGCGGGAGGCAACCAATTGATGTGTCTCTCTCACATCAATGTTTCTCTTTCTCCCTCTCCCTCTCCCTCTCCCTTTCCCTCCCTCCCTCCCTCCCTCCTTCCCTTCCACTCTCTCTGAAAGCAACAGAAAAAATATCCTCAGGTGAGGATTAAAAAAAAAAAAAGAAACAGTTTAGAACACAAATTATGGCACAGTCACCCAAGCTGGGGTGTAAAGTAATCTAAGCTCCTGGCCCAAAGCAACGGGAAAAATATACTCAGGTGAGGATTAAAAAAAGAAAAGAAACCGTTTAGAACACAAATTATGGCACAGCCACCCAAGCTAGGATACAAAGTAATCCAAGCTCCTGGCTCATGTTATTCCCAACCCACCTCTCCCACTTAAGACAGTCCCACTTGGGATTTACAAAGGAAAGGTAAAAATTGCCCTCCCCTCCTTGTTGTCTCTCAAATTGTTACACCCTGAGGGACCACTAGGAACCTACTTTCCCCAACCAACTCCTGTTGCATGGTGTCCCAGAAGCTTTCCCAGAATGGGCGAAGAACTAGATATTACTATTTTATTGCTCCAAATCACCCTTGGTGGCTCAACTAATACTTATTGCCTGCAGAGTAAGAATACACCTTGAGTAAAGATTGTACTTGTTTCCCATAATTTTTTTATTGTAGTAAAATATACATAAGATTTACCACTTAATCATTTTAAATGTACAGATCAGTGGCATTAAGTACATTCACATTATAGTGTAACCACCACCATTGTCCATCTCCAGAACTTTTCATCTTCCCAGATTGAACCTCCATACCCATTACACAATAACTCTCCACTTGCCCACTCCTGCCAGCCTCTGAAAATTGTAATTCTACTTTCCGTCTCTACAAATTTGACTACACTAAATACCTCCTCTAAGAATCATACAATATTTGTCCTTTTGTGTCTGGCTTATTTCATTTACCACAATGCATTCAGGGTTCATTCTCACTTTATCATGTGTCAGAATTTCATTTAAAACTTTTAAAGGCTGAATAATACTCCACTGTGTGTATATATCACATTTTATTTATCCATTCATCTGTTAAGGGATACTTCGGCTGCTTTCACACTTTAGCAACAGTGAAAAATACTGCTATTAACATGGTGTACAAATTTCTCTTTGAAACCCTGCTTTCACTTTTTGGGTATACACCCAAAGTGGAATTGTTGGCTCATAATGTAATTCTATGTTTAATTTTTTTAAAGAATCACCTTACTGATTTCCTCTTTTCTTAAAACTTTAAACTTATGTCCAATATAATCATTATTTTTTTTTCTAATCAGATCCACACTTAGGACAGTAGTGTTTATATATGCTTTGTATCTAATGTCATAACTGTCCTATAACTATTTAAAACACGCCTTTAAATACTAGTCTTGTTGATGACTAGTGGGAAAACTGCATGCCACTCGTCAGTCAACAAGCACTTTTTTATTTTAAATATATCTTTATTGATTTCAGAGAGAGGAAAGGAGAGGGAAAGAGAGATAGAAACATCAATGATGAGTCATTGATTGGCTGCCTCCTGCACGCCCCCGACTGGGGATAAAGCCCGCAACCCAGGCATGTGCCCTGACTGGGAATCAAACCCCAATCACCTGGATCCTAGGTCGATACTCAATCGCTGAGCCATGCCCAGCCGGGCAACAAGCACTTCTTGCACATCGATGGCATGCTAGGTTCCAACTACATGGTAGAGACACAAAGAAAATATGGCATTGTCCTTGTCCTTAAGAAATGCATGGGCCCAGCCAGGCGTGGCTCAGCGGTTGAGCGTCGACCTAGGATCCAGACAATTGGGGTTCGATTTCCGGTCAGGGCACATGCCTGGGTTGTGGGCTCGATCAATGACTCTCTCATCATTTATGTTTCTATCTCTCTCTCTCCCTCTCCCTCTCCTTTCCTCTCTCTGAAATCAATAAAGATATATTTTTTAAAAAAAAGAAAGAAAAGAAATGCATGGACTAGGGAAGGAGGTAGATACAAAAGTAAATGATCACAATGGAGTTAAGTGCTACAGTGGAAATTTTTGTAGTTCCATAGGCTAAAGTGAAACCTTCAGCTATGTTAATTGCATCTTGGGTGTGAAGCCACAAGGGGCCCTGACACTTTTAAGGGTCTTACTTGTCTAGAAAATCTCTTCTTCCTTGGGGTAGAAAATAGGTCTCTCTTCTCCATTACCAGGTGATTAAGGAGAACTAAGAGGAAGAATTCATTTATCTTTCTTTCATTCTGTCTCCTAAGCAAACAGAATGTCTTTTTGTCTTTTATAAATAAAAGGTTTAGTTTAGGTGTTTATTTTGTAATTTAGAATTACCCATCATAGAAACAACCCAAAAGTCCATCAACAGATGAATAGAAAAACAATGTAGTATAAAAAAACTATATATACAAACAATGGAGTATTATTCAGCCTCAAAAAGGACACATCCTACAACATGGAGGAATTCTGGAAACATTACACTAAATGAAATAAGCCAGACACAAAAGGATAAATATTGCACGATTCCTCTTATATCAGGTACTTAGTCAAATTCAGAGAGAGAGAGAATGTAGAATACTGGTTACAGGGGTTGAAGGTATAGGGGAATAGGGAGTTACTGTTTAATGGGCACAGAGTTTCAATTTAGGAAGAAAATATTCTGAAGATGGATGGTGGTGATGGTTGCACGATAGTATTAATGAGCCTAATATCACTGAATTGTACACTTAAAATGGTTAAATAGTAATCTTATGTTATATGTACTTTATGAAAAAAAAAAACACAACACCCCGGCCAGGCATGGTTAAGCAGTTGAACATTGACCTAGGATTCAGGAGATCGCGGTTCAATTCCCAGTCAGGGCACATGCTGGGTTGCGGGCTCAATCCCCAGTTGGGGGTGTGCAGGAGGCAGCTGATCAATGATGACTCTCCCATCACTGAGGTTTCTATCTCTCTCTCTCCTTCTCCCTTCCTCTCTCTGAAATCAATAAAGATATATTAAAAAAACCAACCAACCAAAAAAAACCCACAAAAATTTTAAAAACCCCACAACCTTCTAGCCAAATATAGAACACACCCTATATATGTGTGCTGCTGAGACCATGAAAAGGAGCCCTTGGCTATCTCCAACGCCTTCCGTTAAGTGTACTGTATTTACTAAGAATAAAACTTTTGAAGTACTTAAAAAAAAAAAAAAAACACACCCAAAAAACACACTTTAATTCACCTATCTTTAATTGTATCACTTACCACTTTAGAAGGCAGTTTCTGAAAAAGTTCGCTAATGAGATGTCCTGACGGATTTGTGGCTACAACTATGGCTTCAAGAAGCTGCTCCAGGATCTCCTTTAAGTAACTTGGAGAAGACTGGGAGGAGGGATTTGGAAGCAAGAAAAGAGGGGAGAAGTAAGTACTTTGAGAGAGAAATGCCACAACAAATGCTGATATTTGAAATAATTTCCAAAATTTGAAAGTCAACTCAAAAGAGCAACTTCTAAACAGTAATTATTGTAAGTACAAGTTTGAAAAATACGGAAATGCTCAGATGGTGAATGCGGTAGCTGTACTCCCAGAATGGCATATGTGGAACTAATGAGGCTCCTTATATATTTCAGTAACTGAATCCTTTGGATCAGATCCTTTTACTAAACTCCATTCCACAGTAAACACTGTAACAGCGAAGTTCAAGTGCCATTTGTATAAATGATTAGAAATGCCTACCTTTTTAGGCTCTGAGCAACTGAAAAAGAAAAACATGCTCCATGATACCCGCTCACTTCTATATCTGTTCATACCTACTAAAGTCTTGGTATTCTGGTAGAATAACTACATATGTAAAGTGGGAACAACATACTTTTCACCAGAGGGTGCTCTGCCAGCTCTCATGACAGAATTCAAGTTATATCAAAACTGAATGGAGATTAAGTCAACTGATGACCATTACTTCTGCTCTCCAGATGGCTGGCTTAGTCCTACCTTAGTCACTGTTTCTACATGGGAAAGTATATGCCCCAAAGAGTGCCTGGCCAGTCTCTACAGTGAGCAACGGGCTATCTCAGTCAATGTTTTTATTAAATGGTAGTTCAAGTCCAAACCGTGTTTTGTGCATATAAAATAAAGATTAATGGTTATTTCTGATTTAAATAATAAAAACACTAGTATTTTTATCCTAAACCAACAGGTCTTTTATTTAGTACAGTCTCAATATTAAGGTCCTCCAACATTAACTCCACAGAGAGGGCTTTAACAAATCTCTTGGGTCTATCACAGTGCCTGCCAAAAACAGACCACACAATAAATATTTAACATGTAAGACATGGGATTAGCTGAGTGCCCAGCCACATAAATTTAGAGAACCAACATAATACTGATGAAAGTAGACTAAAATACCCATGTTTACATCATTTACTTCCTGGCTAAAACGTGGTACCACAGAGTTAGCTTCAAAAAGGAGAGTTAGTCCTGGCCGGTGTGGTTAGAGCATCAGCCTGCATACCAAAGGGTCTCAGGTTCGATTCCCAGTCAAGGGTATATACCGTACCTGGGTTGTAGGTTCAATCCTCCAACCCCGTCGGGGTGCATGTGGGAGGCAACCAATGGATGTGTCTCACATTGACATTTCTCTCTTCTCCCCCCCCCTCCCTTTCTCTCTCTCTAAAAGTTAATAGAAAAAATATCCTTGGGTGAGGATTAACAAAACAAACAAAAAGAAAAGAAAAAAGAGTTATATTCTACAGCCAAGATTCCTCTCCTCCAAGTCATACCAGCTACTTTGTCTTGCAGATGACAAAGGGAGCAGGGTATGTAAATGCATTCATATAACCTACTCCCACAACTGGGAAAATTCCAAGTACATCATTCTTAATTTAAAAATGAAAGGCCTGAAAATTCCTTCTCCCTTCTTGAGAAACTTAGGGCTAGAAAGAAGTTTGGGAGATATAAATATGAACATTCAAGATCCTTCCAGTTTCTTACTGAAATAAACACAGGCAATTCCTAAATATAGACATTTTCATTTTTGACTAGAACCCTGGAGGCCTAACAAGGCTGAGCCCCCTGTAGGTAATGAATGTTCTGTCCAAGAAAGCATGGGTTAAGTTGCTGCTCCCACATTAATACCAGAGAGTAAAATTTTAGGGAATCCCTAAATGCCTTCTACTTAATTCCAATCATTTAATTTCTAGAAAAAAATTGACAAGGTCCCCAGAAACTAGATTTTGAGAATACACAAAGAAGTTATGTTTTTTGTTGTTGTTGTTAATCCTCACCCAACGATATTTTTCCATTGCTTTTTAGAGTGAGGGTGGGAGGAAAAATGGGGAGGGGGAGAGAAAAACACTGATGTGAGAGAGGCACACCGACTGGCTGCTGCCTGCATGCACCCTGCCTGGGGCCAGGGATTAAACCTGCAACCCAGGTACATGCCCTTGACTGGGAATCAAACCCAAGACCCTTTGGTGCATGGGCCAATGCTCTAACCACTGAGCAACACAAGTCAGGGCAAGAAGTTGTTCTGAGAAATTCACCCACCACTGCTTCTTTCTGTGTCGAAGTTTCAGGAAAGAAAGGGAAATGTACTGCTTTGGGTATCTTACTATTTAGCTGAAGAGAGATATAATTCCTTTTATTATTTTCTTTCTTCTTTATAAATGTGTGCTCATTCAGCAAGAATTTATCGGTACTGCCCTGCCTGGTGTGGTTCAGTGGTTAGCGTGTTGGCCAGTGTACTGAAGGGGCTCCGGTCCAATTCCCGGTCAAGGGCACATACCTGGGTTGGTGGTTCTTTCCCAACCCCGGTCAGGGCACATGCAAAAGGCAACCAGTTGATGTGTCTCTCTCATATTAATGTTTCTCTCTCTCTACTCCTTCTTACTCTCTCTCAAAAAAAACCAAACAAATACAAAAACAAACAATGGAAAAAAATATCCTCAGGTGAGGACTGACAAGCAAACAAAAAAAGTATTTATCCGTACCTACGAGTCAGGCACGATCTAGATGTCAGGAATAGGTGAACAAGGTGATTTCTTTTGTCGACTATAATTCTACTTGGGAGAAGACAGAAAGTAAACATGTAATCTAATAAACAAGTTATTTCACCAAATTATATAGTGGTAAAGACTGAAGACCATAGAACAGAGGGATGTGATGACAGAAAAGGAGTATGGAGCAAACAATTTAGATAGGTGGTCAGGAAAGTCCTCTCCCAGTTGATATTAAGTGATATTACAATAATGAAAAAGAGCCAGTGATAGGAAAAGCCAAAGGAAACATTCTAAGCAAAAGAGCAACTGCAAAATTCCAGAGGAAGGAATACACTTAGCACATTCTAGGAACAGTACTCAGTCTAACCTACAAAAATATTTCTAAGGTGATTCCACTGACTCTCCAACTCCAATTTTGTTTTTTGTGGTGATTGTTAATTCCTCACCTGAGGACATTTTTATATTTTTTCCATTGCTTTTCAGAGAGAGTAGAAGGGAGGGAAGGACGGAGAGAGGGAGAAAGAGGTGGGAAGAGAAAGAGAGAGAAACATTGATGTGAGAGAGACACATAGACTGGTTGGCTCCTGCACTCGCCCTGACAGGAGGCAGGAAGCAAATCTGGAACCGAGGTACATGCCCTCAACCGGAAATCGAACTCGAGACCCCTCGGTGTGCAGGCCGACACTTTAACCACTGAGCCACTCTGGCCAGGGCTGACTCCCAACTTTCAATCACAACAAAGCTTACTCTTACATGGTATCTCAATCTAGGAACACTGAATCACTTGATGATATGAAGGTTCTTTTTAAAACTGAGCGGGAAATATGCATTAACATAAGAGCAATTCATAAAAACATGCGTGAGTATGGGACACATTGTCCAGGATGTCTTATGATCCCTTGTAAATGCAGTGGGGCTCTCTGTCTATATTATGCCCTTTTACTCTCCCAGTTACCAACACAACTATATAGAAAGCCCACAACACCCCAGAGAAAATCACAGAGGCCTTGTCCACTTCCTAACAGCCCATCTATCACCCGTTCCAGCTGCACACTTACTCCTTCAGTTACTGTGCCTTGATTGTCTTGCACATCTTCATCATCATCATCATCATCTGCTTCTCCTTTCTGAACAAACTCATTTCTTGTTCGAAGGTACAAATCCCAGAGTTTACAAGCAGCTTTATATTCAGGAGAATCTGGCTGTACATTAGCAAAAAGAGAAAAAAAGATCACTTTATTATTTTATTATAAATCAATTATTACTTTTAAAGCATCTTGTTCCAGCAAAGACTGGTTTTCTAAGGCATAACTTCAAAATCTCTATTACAAATTTTAAACTACTTATGATTAAAAGATACATGGGCTTCAATTTTCTTCTCAAAAACTAAGTGTATGTTTTAAAGGCATTCTGAAATCAAATTTATTTATGCCCTATCTTATTACAGAAAGACTTGAGGCAAAATATAAATGATTTTCTAAATTAAGCCTAATTATTACTAAGAAAGGTCACTTAAGGAATAAGACCTGGTGCAGCCACTATGGAAAACAGTATGGACAATCCTCAAAAAACAAAACAAAACAAAAAGCCCACAACCCTAAAAATACATCTATCATACAACCCAGCAATTCCACTTCTGGGTATTTATCCACAGAAAACAAAAACACTAATGTGAAAAGACATATGCACCCCATGTTCATTTCAGCCTTATTTAGAACAGTCAAGATATGGAAGCAACCTAGGTACATACACACACAGACACACACACTGGAATATTACACAGCAATAAAAAAGAAGGAAATTCTGCCATTTGCAACAACATGGATGGACCTAGAGAGTATTATACTAACTGAAATAAATCAGACAAAGACAAATACTGTATGGTTTCATTTATATGTGGAATCTAAAAAACAAAACAAATGAACAAACAAACACAACAACAGACTCAGAAACACAGACCAAAGGGATAGATACCAGAGGGGAGGAGGATGAGGGGATGAGTGAATAACGCTAAGGGGAATACAGTCAGTAATATTGTGATAAATTTGCATAGTGATAGATGATTAATAGAATTGCGGGGTGGATCACATTGTAAGGTATGGAGATATCACTATATTATACACCTGAAACTAATGTAACTAATATAATACTGTATACCAACTATACTTACAATAAATAGAAAAAGAAGGATAAGACCCAATTTAAAGGATACAAGTCAAAAGGCTAGAAGTTAATGATTGTTCTGATATCACTTCTATTTTTTAATATATTTAATACCTTATTTGAAGATTTCTTTTCCTGAAGGACTTGCATATCTAATTTGCTGTTCATTTGTGGAAATGAACTCTAACTGAAGCTTTCCAGTAAAAACAACGCTGGATAAAATGTTAGAAAACAAAAAAAATAATAAAACTTGAAAAGTACATCCATGTGGCCCTCAGTAGCTAGAGCATCGGCCTGCACACCAAAGGGTCAAGGGCATGTACCTCGGAGGCAGGTTCGATTCCCAGCCCTGGTTGGGGTGCCTGTGGCAGGCAACCAATCGATGTGTCTCTTTCACACTGATGTTTTTTTTCTGTCTCTCCCACACCACCTCTCTCTCTCCCTTCCTCTCTCTCTAAAAATCAATGGAAAAATATGCTCAGGTGAGGATTAACCACAAATAAAATAAAATACATCCATCTGCTTCCAGTTAAGAGTAAGCAATGCCCATAAAATCAGGAATAGAGTAAAAGTGGGATTGCAGATGAGCAGGCAGAATACCACGTTAACCTTGATGGCATCTGTAAGGCAAGATAAACTTGAGCTTTAGTTTATAAGGCTCTGGGAGGATGCAAGGGCAGGAGATAAAGGCCAAGTGCCACCAGAAGATGGAACTCAAAGCCCATGGCTGCAGTGTAAGTGAAAGTTCAAAACAATTCATTTTCTGCACTGTCAAGGAATAAGGAGGACTACACACCCCAACCTCCACCCAGCTCAATCTGCGCCTATCTCAATCATGGTACTATGGGGAAAGAAGCGCAAGATGAATCTCTGAGAACTCTTTTTTAAATTTTTTTATTTTTTATTATTTTTTTAAATATATCTTTATTGATTTCAGAGAGAGGAAAGGAGAGGGAGAGAGAGACAGAAACATCAATGATGAGAAAGTCATTGATCAAGCCCACAACCCAGGCATGTGCCCTGACTGGGAATCGAACCCCAATCTCCTGGATCCTGGGTCGATGCTCAACCGCTGAGCCACGCCCAGCCGGGCCTCTGAGAACTCTTTATCATGAGCTAGCACTAATAAAAATAGGCCAGGTGCCTAGAATAAACAATAAATCTCTTCTCTGGATCAACTCAACTTCAATCCCAGACTCAAAGAATCTCTAGAGATAAAGTTCTAAGAAATACTAGCTTGTGATAAAAATCCATGAAACACACAATAAAAGAATCACAACAGAAAGCTAACAGAAATGACAGCAAATCAGACATGTAAGTACTTCAGATACTGGAATTATCTGCCACAGAATAAAAAATATGTTGAACACATTTAAAGAACAATGGAATTAAAGATATAAGCAAAGCACAGGAACCCCCCCCAAAAAAACCCTACCAAAATATGAAAAACAGAAATACCAAAATGTAAAAATTCAATAGATTGGTTTAAAAGATTTCAAAGAAAATGAGAACTAAAAAACAACACAGACACCAAAAAGGGGACTATGAAAAGAGAAATGGAGACCCAAGAGAGTTCTGATATAATTTTCAATCTGAGTTTTATAAGGAGAAGAGAGAACGGGCAAAGGCAATATGCAGACATAATGGCTAAAAACTTTCCAGAGCTGATGAAAAACACCAAAGTTTCAGGAAGCCCCAAATTGTATAAGTAAAAAGATATTCATATCTAGACATATCACAGTAAAACTGCAGAATACAAAAGGCAGATACTAAAAAGAAGATACAAAAAGAAGATACTGAAAATAGCCAGGCCCAGCCGGGCATGGCTCAGCAGTTGAGCATCGACCTAGGATCCAGGAGATCGGGGTTCGATTCCGGGTCGGGGCACATGCCCAGGTTGCGGGCTGCAACCGATCAATGACTCTCTCATCACTGATGTTTCTATCTCTCTCTCTCCCTTCCTCTCTCTGAAATCAATAAAGGTATGTTAAAAAAAAACAACAATAAATTTTTTTTTTTAAATAAACAAATAAATAAATAATAAAAATAAATAAAAATNGTTAAAAAAAAACAACAATAAATTTTTTTTTTTAAATAAACAAATAAATAAATAATAAAAATAAATAAAAATAGCCAGAAAAGAAAGACAAATAACCTTTAAAGGAATTACAATTATACTAACAGATGACTTTTCAGTAGCAATAAAAGAATGAATAAAGAAAGTAGTAGCCCTAGACAGTTTTGCTCAGTGGTTAGTGCCGGCCCTCAGACTGAAGGGTACCAGCTTTGATCCCGGCCAAAGGCAGGGACCTTGGTTGCAGGCTTGATCCCCAGCCCTGGTCAGTGTACATGCGGGAGGCAACCAATCAATGTCTCTCTCTCTCTCTCTCTCTCTCTCCCCC